AACTAACAAGTGTTATCGTCTTTGTATAATTACCTTACTCAGGATCAAGAGTCCCTGGCTGTGCTATAGTTGGCTCCAACCCGACCCTACTCTCTAACCCCATAGGCCAAATCTCTAAAGATGCTTAAGAGGTAATATCACAATGGAAGTCAATGATGATTTTGTGGGTGGATTTGGGATGCAGCCCACGCAGCCGTCGGACAATAGGCGCCGGATGCACGAGGTCCAGCTGCAGCTATGATGCAGCCAACGAATGACAAGTGAGTGGCATCATCAGCCATTGCACTGGTTCATTAGATGAGCGGTACATTTTAAACGTGCCCAGCAACGTTTGCAGTGCTGCTGGTGATAAGGCCACCAAAGCGTTTGAGGAATTCCTGGCCGTCATTGGAATGGAATATGACGACTTTGCCGAGTTCTATGGCAACTTGGCAACAAAGGACTTCACCATCGCGACCACGCTCCTCATGCCATGGCTGCACACCTGGGCAGCACCAAACCCAAGCAACAACCCAAAGTATGATGTTGTCTCATGCGAAGTAGTAAAATTTGGCTTGCATGTTAGACAATGCAACTGCTTGCTTGCATGATCTGCAGGACTCAAATGAGGGGGTTGCAACCCCATATGGTAAACTTGCTTCAGCAGGCATGTGTACAGAAGCGAGAAACGGGAGCTGCAGACGGCATCATCCACCAAAGCTCTGCCTACAATGAAGAAAGGTGACATAAGCATGATGCCGCTCTGCCTGAGATATGGGTGCCGGTTTGGAAGCCGTTGAGGATGGAGGCGTATGTTGGCTACTGGCTCATATCACGAGGCATGACACGTGAATAGTGACCACTGGTGAGTTGTTCTCTGGGGGAAATCATGATGTAACATTAAGGCAACTACCCAGGTTCAAACAGGAAGAAGCCGTTGAGGAAGTATGTTACTACTAGTAATTAGTAACTCATATACGGAGCTAAAACTTAAGAATGGTGAAGTGTTCTCTGGGGATGTCATGATAGAACGGGGTGGATTAGGCAAATAACCCAGTTCCGACCTGAGTTCGATTCCCGGGCATGCTTTTTCTGCTTGGGAGGTGATAGCTGTGACTACAGGTATCTACACAGTTGCGTCCATCACTCTGAGATTGACAGATAG